TGGTCTCTGGGCTGGTCAAAGGGAGCCTGGGGTAGCCTATGGGCTCTCTGGGGGAACTCAGGGTGGTTTCTGGGCTCTCTGCAGGAGCGCAGGATGGTCTTTGAGCTGGCCAAAGGGAGAGCTGGGTGGTCTCTGTGCCCTCTGGAGGAGCCCAGGGTGGTTTCTGTGCTCTCTGGAGGAGCCCAGAGTGGTTTCTGTGTTCTCTGGAGGAGCCCAGGATGATTTCTGTGCTCTCTGGAGGAGCCCAGGATGATTTCTGTGCTCTCTGGAGGAGCTCAGCATGGTCTCTGTGCCTTCTGGAGGAGCCCAGGGTGGTCTCTGGGCTGTCTGGGGGAACTCAAGGTGGTCTCTGGGCTGGCCAAAGGGAGCCAGGGATGGTCTCTGGGTTATCTGGAGGAGCCCAGGGTGGGTTTTGTGCTGGCCAGAGCAAGCCCAGGGTGGGTTTTGTTCCATCCAAAGAGAACCCAGGGTGGTTTCCCCACCGAGCAGAGGGAGCCAGGGCTGCTGTGAGTGTGAGAGGCTGAGGGAGCTGTCCCTTGGCCATCCCTTCCCATCCGTGCACCCCAGCACCCGCGGGAAGAAGCTGAAGCGGGGCCAGTTTCCAACAGCGGGGCGAGGGGTGGTTAGTGCTGTCTCTGCCTGTCTGTACCTCACCGTGCCAGTGTCACCGGTACCTGGAGTTGTGAGGAATTTCTTCCTTTCCCAGATCTTATTCCAAAGCCCGGGTGAATGTTCCGGAAGGTGAGGTTTTGTTCAGCAAGTGCTGCCTTTGAAAATATCCCGATTATTCACCYRGAAYGGCCCCAAARCCTGGCCCCAAAGCCCAGCCCGAGGCTCAGGAGCTCCAAGCAGCTTCCCCAGGGGGCTGTGGGTGAAGGGCACCACTTGTGGGCTGCAGGTGAATTTTGGGTTCGGGGAGATGTGGGATGACCTTGGAAGGGGTTTGAGACACGGAGATGGCAGTGGGAAAAGAGCAGGGAACACCGGGGGCTGACTCATAATGGGGATAGGGAATATTGGATAATAGGGACGATCCCAAAGCTCAGCTGGAGCTGAAGGAGGGGAGAGGCCCAGGAGCAGAGCGTGGAGGCCTGGGATGCATCCAGAGCACCCCGACTCTCAGTCCTGTGGGACAGCTGGACCGGGCTGTGGCAGTGAGAAGGACACTGCAGCACGGGCAGCGCAGGCTGATCAGATCTCGGCAGCGGAGGATTTATTCACATGGGGCTGGAGGAGCAGAGGAGTCAAGGACGGGCCGGCAGAGCCAAGCCCCGGCCAGCCGGGCGCTGCCAGGGCCGCACCTGCAGCACCGGGCACTGGGCTCGGCTCCAGCCTGCGCTGGACACAAGGGCACAGCCTGCCCCGGCACCTGGAGCCCGGCCAGAGCTCGGGACATCGGCCCTGGGAAGGCAGCAGGGACTGCAGAGGGGGCAGAGGGGCAGCGGGAGGGGTGGAAGCCTGGTGAGAACGCGGTGTGAGGAAAATTAACCCACAAACACCAGAGGGTTATGTCCAAGAAGGCAAGAGAGGGACCCTGTGACTTTATTTTAATAAAGGGAGAGGCCATGGGACATTTCCATGGGGTCTCTCAAATTGCTGGAGGGTGCAGCCTCCTTTTTATCCCAATTTCCCAGCCTCATTTCCTCTGGCTGAGGTACAGACTCCCCAGATCTCCTCATACAGACCCCATCTAATGTGCATCCCCCTGCCCCTTTTATTTATTCTTTGTGTCTCTGTTCTTTTTCTCTCAGTCCAGGGGTTTAGCACAGCCTCGGGTCAGTACCAGTCTGTGTGAATTGGTGGAATTAGTCTGGAATTTATGGTTCCTCCCATTGCTCCTTTCACCCATCATTATCTGGCCTTATCTACCGGCAGACCCCGTAATTTGTTTGTAAAGACATCGATCATT